GCTAACCTTTTAGTTGCACCTTTATCCACATTGTCCCATTTAATCTGGTCAGATGACCATGTGTAAACTCTTCTCATTTTAAAGTTTTGGCAGATCAGAGAGGTGAAGGAATTCAAAGCTAGCAAATGGCAGAGGTGAAATAAGAACTCAGTATTTAGTCCCTAGCCTTGGGTTCCTTAAAACTAGCTACCAACACTAAAGACTAACAACAATCACTATGTCTATGTCTTCATCCATATTGCTGTTTTCATCTTGTTTGCGTCGGACATATCACCAGGAAAGATGAATCGCTTAAAGGGGTCATTTTGTTTGGTAGAGAGTCACCAAAACTGAGAGAAACGTTCTACTCTATGAGATGGGCCAACATAAGAGCTCCAACAACGAACTCAAACATAGCGAGCACCGTGAGGAAGGAACAGGACAGGACAACGTTGTATCCTGTTTTATGTACAGATGCCACAAATCGGAGCCGACTCAGTGCCAGTTAACAGCAACAGAGTATCTAGGTAGGTGCATGCCAAAAGCAAGCAAACATAAACAACACTGACAACAGCTGAGAAGTCCAGTGTACTATCCTTGCAACTAAAATGTTCATTGTTGTTTTTGTTTTTTAAATAATGAAAAAGCCAGTACTCTTGAGCACAGGAGATCAAGGGCACTAACATGCTAACAATGTCTGTTAGGACGCAAGGACCTACTTTGAGCACAATTTTTCTTTATTTTTATATTTCTGCAATGTCCTTCAATTAAGTAAGAACTTGAAAATTGAATAAATGATATCAAGCAAAAAGAAAACTAAAATGAAGCAGCACCGTGAAGTCCTAAAATCACAAAGCTGGGAGAGAGGCCTGCTTACTCCAGATGAGGCCACCCCCGAGGACAGGCCTGTCCCTGATGACCTAGTTACTTGCTCATCACCTTCAACCTCACAGATTTAAAAATCAGCCTGGAAATAGATGTTTGGAGCTCATTTTTATTCTTGAGCAACAGTTACACCCCAGGCTATTGTAACAGCAGCGTGTTCTGGCTTAGCCGGCTGGACTGGGACATTTTGGACTTAGCCAAAGCCAAGGCTGTCTGTCCAGTTGGATGTGGCTGCAGAGCCCTAGGTTTCTCTGGCACCAGCTCCATCCTGGGAGGCTCTAACAAACAGAATTTGTCTTCTTCCCAGGAATTCAGTTCAAATCTCCGCAACCCACCACAACCAATGTGTGAGGCAGAGCGTGCTACCCAGCTGTGGTGAGCAGAGCAGCCAAGGCAAGGAGAAGGCTCAGCCCATGTACACTGGGAGTTGGTGGGTCTGGTCCCAGGCTACAGCCCCACTGGAGTGGTTGTTGAAGGAGCTGGGCATCTAATTTCTTAGGGATCCCTAGTGGGTGGGGACAGTTAGCATGTTGTATTGATAACCAAAAGGTTGGTGATTTTAATCCACACAGAGTCACCTTGAAAGAATGGCCTAGCGATCCACTTCTGAAAAGTTAGCCATCAAAACCTGAGACCGAAAATATGTCCTTGAGTCTTAAAATCTAACAATACCTTACTTTTAACAAGAAAAGCATGTCTGCCTGTGCATTGTGCACTTTTTGTTCTTATTGTTAAGTGCCACCGAGTCCAGTCAGTTCCAAGTCATAGCAACCCTGTCTAGGGTTTCCAAGGAAGAGCCGTGGGTTTGAACTGCCAACCTTGAGATTCAAGTGCCTACAGGCCTACAGCACCACACCAGGATTCTTTGAAGACGGATCAAATTGACAACAGCAACTCAAAATATCAGGTAGGAACCTCAGGGGCACTGACTTTATGTTCATCGGGGAGGGACAGCTCAGAAAAAGAGGGTGAGAATGGATGTCCAACTCAAAGAATATTAGGGTGAGTCAAAAATTATCCTCACTCTAGCTGTAGAATTTTAATCAACTTTCAGAAAAGACAAATTACATCATTTTTTCAACATTATCTCCTGCCTTTGCAATCCATTTTGTCCATCTGTCAACAAAGTTTTGTACTCTCTTATTTCAAAGATGTTTTAGGCTGAGCTGCGAGCCACAAATGAACCACTGTCTTCACTTCTTCAACAGAGGTGAATCTTTGCCCTTGAAGGGCTGCTTTCAGGGGACCAAACAGGAGAAAGTCTGATGGAGCAAGATCAGTATTATTGGGGGGATGCTTTAACACCTGAAAATGAAATTTTGCAGAGCGTCAACAGTGTGGGCAGAGGTGT